TCTGTACATTCACTGCCCCCACCTACAATTCCTGCCAGACCGGAGACTCGAACTCGTAACTTTTGGGTTACGAGTCCGACTCTCTAACCATTAGGCCACGACTTCCCCCAAGTCACTTGTATATCATTGCTCTTTTGTTGATTTTGATTACTTAACATACTAGGGATACATTAGGGATACATAGGCCCGATACTGAGCTCCTGTACTCTTACTCGTACTCGCACTCGTTAAAATGCCCCGATACCAAACGCCGATACCATATTTAGAGTATAGAGTGCCATTTAAACGTTTTTAAAAGACTTCTCTTATTATGAAAAATACAGTAATACAATAATATTGTGAAATATTATAATCTAACCGAACTGCTTTCTATTTTAGTATATTTTAAAATCTAATTTATTTCTTGTGGTGGCAAAGCTATATTTTCAGCAGCTATTACTCCAGTCTTCAGTGTCAAATGATCCTTTAGAAATAATTTTAATATGCTGATTTGATGCCCAAGAAACATTTATTATTATCATCATCAATATTGAAAACAGTTGTGCTGCTTAATATTTTTGTGGAAACAGTAAGACATGTTTTTTAAAGGTTTAAAGTTCAAAAGAACACTTTATTTTTAAAAGAAATCGTTGTACTATTATAAATGCCTTTACTGTCATTTTTGTAATCTTATTAAACCCAAAGTTTTGAATGGTATAAATACATAAATAGTGAAGTACCTCTGTCCTCATCATGAAGTTTTTAGTATAATCTTTTACCAGACTTCAGGTCTGAGCATGATTGAAATTGAATGATGAGGCTGGAAATAGTTTTATTTAGTTTGTTGTTTTCTCCATTAGATTGTATATTTATTCTTATTGACATGTTCTCTTTGTTTTCTAGCAATTATAAACCCAAAACAGCCGAAGGAGAGCAAGAGCTTCAACTTTGACTATTCCTATTGGTCACATACAACGGTGAGTTTCTTGATATTAACTGGTGAATCTGCCTCTTACAAAACTCCCTGCTGCTATTTTGAATTCTTCTGTGATCATGATGGCTGTTATTGAGACATTAATGATTATTTATTTTTGTGCTTTGTGCATTTCTGTCTTCAACAGCCAGAAGATGTGAATTATGCATGCCAAAAGCAGGTTTTTAAAGACATAGGGGAGGAAATGCTTCTGCATGCTTTCGAGGGATATAACGTCTGTATCTTTGCCTATGGGCAAACTGGGTCAGGAAAGTCATATACCATGATGGGCAAGCAAGAGAAAGACCAAGAAGGCATCATCCCATTGGTAGTACACTATAATACCATCTGTAATTGACATTATCGCTGTCTTTGATATTGTAGCAAATACTGTAGCTTAGATGCTGCCAGGTTTGAGCTAACACATTCATAATGCTGAATCTATCTGTGACAGCTATGTGAGGACCTGTTTACCAAGATCAGTGCCAATAATGACAACAGCATGTCATACTCGGTTGAGGTAAGAGCAGCACCTGCATCATAAATTGCATTCTTACCGTAGAATCAGTATAGCAAGTGAAAATGTTGTTGTTTTTTCAGGTCAGTTACATGGAGATCTACTGTGAGCGTGTGCGGGACCTTCTGAACCCAAAGAACAAAGGGAATCTGCGTGTGCGAGAGCATCCTCTGATGGGACCGTATGTGGAGGACCTATCAAAACTGGCCGTTACTTCCTACAATGACATACAGGACCTGATGGACTCTGGAAACAAAGCAAGGTGACACAAATTTATGAGTATAGATTACACTACCATTTCAAATGTTTGGGGTTGTTAAGATTTTGAAAATGTTTAGAAAGTCCCTTATAAATAGAATAAAAACTGTAATATTGTGAAATATTATTACAGTATTACAAGTATTTTAATATATTTTTTCAGCACTCAATACTTCAGTCTTTAGTGTCACATGATCCTTCAGAAATCATTCTAATATGCTGATTTGGCACTCAAGAAACATTATTTTCAATGTTGAAAATAATAGCGCTGATGGACTCTGGAAACAAAGCAAGGTGACACAAATTTATGAGTATAGATTACACTACCATTTCAAATGTTTGGGGTTGTTAAGATTTTGAAAATGTTTAGAAAGTCCTGTATAAAAACTGTAATATTGTGAAATATTATTACAGTATTACAAGTATTTTAATATATTTTTTCAGCACTCAATACTTCAGTCTTTAGTGTCACATGATCCTTCAGAAATCATTCTAATATGCTGATTTGGCACTCAAGAAACATTATTTTCAATGTTGAAAATAATAGCGCAGCTTTGTAGAAACTACAATGTTGTTTATAGAATTCTTTGATGAATAAAAAGTTCAAAAGAACAGCATTTATTTGAAATATAAATCTTTTGTAACATTATAAACTGTTACTTTTAATAAATTTAATGGGTCCTAACTAAATAAAGGTATGACTTTCTTTTTAAAAAATCGTACTGACCCCAAACTTTTGAACAACAGTGTATGTATCTCTGCACATCATTTTGAGGGAATGGAAATTATGGGAAAATTGCATTAATCTAAAATGAAGCATCAATTCTTACTTTTTGGGTAAGATAACGTATTTATGTATGTAACTGAAATCAAATTATTCACCACTACATCGCTTTTCCGTTATCAGGACTGTGGCGGCCACCAACATGAATGAGACCAGCAGCCGCTCCCATGCGGTGTTCAACATCATCTTCACACAGAAACGACATGATAGTGACACAGACAACACATCTGAAAAGGTACCGCATCCTCTCCTTCAGCCTTTCCCTCCAGGTCTCCACATATTATGGCAAAGTTTAGTATTGTTCTATATGAGAAAATGTGACTGCCTCTTCAGAAATAGACTAGAATGCAAAAGTAGGTGAGACTCTGCATTTTGAACATCACTGATGGATGTTGGCAGTTTGACAGAGGCTGAAGTTGCTGGTTTGTGCATTAGAGCGCTTTACCGTTCTTAGACAAAACATTTCCATTTGCAAACAGGTCAGCAAAATCAGCTTGGTAGACTTGGCAGGGAGTGAGAGGGCTGATTCTACTGGAGCTAAAGGCACTAGACTCAAGGTGGGTCACATTGAGTTCAACAGAGTTTCATGACAATTTGTCATTTCAGATGAATGCATCATATAAATGTGCGTGCTTTGTTGTTTTTCTAGGAGGGAGCCAATATCAACAAATCTTTAACAACACTAGGCAAAGTTATCTCTGCTCTGGCTGAGATGGTAAGAATTCTCTCAGTTTACATATAAAAGTTCTTAAAAGAAAAGTAAAAAACGGTAAACATTAAAAAATATTGTTGTTTTGTAGGACTCTGCACCAAACAAGGTAAGGATCAGTTTAATTGTTCTTTTATTATCAAGCATTTATAGATTTGACAATTGACACAACTTCTGTTCTCCCTACAGAACAAGAAGAAGAAGAAAGTGGAGAGCTTTATTCCATACAGAGATTCAGTTCTGACTTGGCTGCTGAGGGAAAACCTCGGTATGAGGCTTTATGCACCATGCACAGACAGTATCATTGCTCTCCATCACTCAAAGCATTGCATATTGCAGTCAATGTGGTCAGTTTAACTGTGGTATGGTCCCAAGACATTAAAAAGATTCCTGAAGGTTATCATTTATCATTTATCAGGAGGAAACTCGCGCACTGCTATGGTAGCAGCTCTAAGCCCTGCTGATATTAACTATGATGAGACGCTCAGCACACTCAGGTAAGAACCACCTGATGCCATAAAGGCATTAGTGTGTTTTAAACCAATAACCTACAGTCATTAAAATACAGTAACACTAAAAACTGTTTTTGTATGTTAATGGCTTTGCATTAGCTATGAAGAATTTATCTATGTCCTTAGATGCTATTAGCCTCAGCAGGTAATGTTCTGAATGCTGAATTATTTGGCACATTCTGAAACAGTTTTGGATAGTTAATAGCAATATCACTGTCACAGGTACGCTGACCGAGCCAAGCAGATCCGCTGCAACGCTGTCATCAATGAAGACCCCAACAACCGCCTGGTGCGTGAGCTGAAGGAAGAGGTGGCACGTCTGAAGGATCTGCTCTATGCTCAGGGTCTTGGAGACATCATTGAGAGTGAGTCACCTGATACGCTTCAAACTGAGCAGCTACAACGTTTCACTCCACTTAAAATTACAGATTTCCTCTCAGATTCAAATGCTGCCAGGAGATATTATGAGTAAAGCAGCTCTAGAAATGTGTGTGAAGGATTTGTCTTCTCTCTCTGTTTTTCTCAGCATATCGGGCACAGGCTCCTGGGATATCTGCTCTCAAATGTGTGTATTTTTAAAGGCTTCACAGCTTATGATAAACCAGGGGTCGGCAACTTATTTTTCCTTCTTTTTTTTATACATGAAATGCAGTCTGTTTATTTACAGTATATTACAAATCTGTTCATAGAAGCTTTATATTGGTAATAAAACTTAAAAATTAAAAAGCAGTGCCAAAGTGTGTCACCCACACAGCACTGTGAACAGGACTGTGTAACTCACAGGACAGACATTTATTTGGGTGTCTCACTATTGCATCGGATCAGTTTTTGGTTTGCGCTGTGCTGTCTGATACATCATGATTTTTCTTATTCATTAATCTTTAATTGGAATCGTTCACGTCACATATCAACATTTACTCTCCAGAGTACTCTTATTTTTACTCTTATTTGCTTGATGAGTGTTAATTTTGGAATCTGACCTCAACATTTTATAATAAATAGTTAAAGAATATTACAATCATATAACAATCATACAGTAAATCCTCTGTCCTTTTTATGTGTGTGCCAGTATTGACCCTTTCTAATGTTGCCGACCCCTGCGATGGCCAAAGCAGGAATCTCTGGACCACCAAAGTCCATGCTGTGCAGTTTCAACTAATCAGTTTAAATAAACCTAATTAGTCTGACGGGCAACACAATTATTGGACTCCGCTGCTCTGATGGTCCAAAGGCGCTCTAGAGGTTTTGCTTGAGATTTGCCTCTATGTGAAGCGCAGGCATGTGGTCATCTATGCGGTCTGTGTAGTCACAGATCAGTATTACATTGAGTGTTCAGTTCATCTCCATGCTCATTATCTCAAGCATGGTCCAATGAATTTGAGGCATGAGAGAAAAATCCATTAATAATAATTTTTGATGTTCTGATGTACTTGAAAAAATAAAAACAGCGTCTGAATTCCTCAAATTGATGCCGTCTGCCCTGCACCCTGCAGCTTTATAACCTTTTTAATGAGCTTTTCAGCTTTATGTTTGACACTTTCTACTCTTCCTCCTTCCCCTTCTTTTCTGTTTCCATGGTTTTCCTTTTCTCTCTTACCACAACTTTATCCTTTGACTCTACAACCTGTTCCCACGTGTTGCCCAGACTTGTCAAGTTACAAGACTAATCTCAGTAGCATCCAGGCTGTCAATCAAAGGGGTGATTTCTCCACAGTGACCAATGCCATGACAGGGATGAGTCCTTCGCCTTCCCTCTCTGCCCTGTCCAGCCGAGCTGGCTCCATCAGCAGCCTGCATGACCGGATCATGTTCAGCCCGGGAAGCGAGGAAGCCATTGAGAGGCTGAAGGTGAGAGAGAGGCTGATGGGATGACTGGATGGATGGTTTGATAAAGTAATAAGGGCCAGAGCTGATCTTCTTAATGTCCGACCTCTTTTCCAACTAGGAAACTGAGAAGATAATCGCAGAACTCAATGAAACTTGGGAAGAGAAGCTTCGTCGCACCGAGGCAATTAGAATGGAAAGGTTGGAGACCCCTAAGAGGAATTTTATCTTGAAATGTGTCTGAAATTCAAGTTTTGTGTGAAACAAAAATAAATCAATAAGTAAAAGTAAAAATCTTCTATTTTCATCAGAGAGGCACTTTTGGCTGAAATGGGTGTGGCGATGAGGGAAGATGGAGGAACTGTTGGAGTCTTTTCACCAAAGAAGGTTAGAAGATCATATATGTTTTCTAAAATGAAGCTAGTGAAAGTCTTATGCTTCAATCAGCACTTCCTTATGATTTGACTTTCAGACACCTCACCTGGTCAACCTCAATGAAGATCCACTGATGTCGGAATGCTTGTTGTACTACATTAAAGATGGAATCACCAAGTAAGAATGTTGTTTATTTACACCCAGTATTTTCAACCATGGGCCACTGGGGGTTCACAAAGACATTGCAGGGTGTGTGTTAGTTAACATGAACTAACAATGAACAGTACTTTGCATTAAATTTGACAGCATTTATTAATGTTGATCTCAACATTTTCTAATACATTTTAAGATCAAAAGTTGTATATGTTAACATTTTTATTAACTAATGTTGTAAAAACATATTGCTCATTGTTAATTTAATTAAAGCTGCAATCCGAAATCAATATTTGAGCAAGTACATAACCAGCCAGTGTTCAAAACTATCGCCTTACTTTAGCCCGATTCACAACGGTTAGCTTATAATAATATTTTCTAATTTGAGTGGTACGGGTAGGTTTTCGCAGGAAATTCGAGCATGCCGCTGTGTCATTACGTCACGTTTGTAAACATAAAGAAGTTGTCCCGGCTTTTAGGCTATCGCATGTGAGGATCCTGCAGGTGGCAGATTGTTAGCCTTTTCTCACAGCAGCCAGAATAATTAAATGTATCATTTTGATGGCGGATT